GAAACGTGCTTAAACCTACTGTTTCTTCATTGTACAGGTGAAGTGACCCATGTTAAAGTTGTCATATTTTCTCTCAAGAAAATGTCTTTTACGGTCTGTTCCATTACATATAAAGGGTATTTTATGGCAGAAATGTCTGTTTATACTCATTAGTGTCTTTACTTTAAGAGAATACTGCATAGTGTTTCTAGCCTTTCTCAAGCGTTTGAGCGTTTGAGGAGTGCAAAAAATGCCTTTTCAGTGTAACGAAACGCCTAAAACTACTATTTCATGATTATACAGATGAAGTCAGCCAAGTTAAAGCAGTCATATTTTTTCTCAAGAAAATGTCTTTTACACAAATGTCATTACAACGTCTTCAGATTAAGAGCATACTGCACAGCGCTTCTGGCTTTTCTAAAAAATTGCATCGCTTGTGGAGTGCTGGAAACGCCTTTTCAGTGTAACTTAGCGTCTATAACAAAGATTTTAGCATTTTACACGTTTAATCACCCAAATTAAAGCTTTAATGTTCATTCTCATAAAAGTGTTGTTTATGTTCTGTTGCATGTACAGGGTGTTTCTGGCAGAAATGTCTTTTTATGATAATTATAATGTGTTCACGTTAAGCGAATACAGGATAGCGCTTCTGGCTTTTTTTTAAAGCGTTTGAGCGCTTGAGGAGTGCAGTAAACGCCTTTTTAGTGTATCTTAGCATACATAAAAACGATTACAGTATTGTACAGGTTTGGTCACCCAAGTTAATGCTTTAATGTTTTTCCTCATGAAAATATGATTATAGGTCAGTTCCTTGGGAGTGAAAGGTTATTTTATGGCAGAAATGTCTATTTAAAATCATCAGAGGTGTGGACTTGAGTCATGCCTTGACTAATATTTCACTGTGAAACGCGCATCATTCTAAATGTAAGATATTAAGTCTACTATTCGGTAGTACTAACTAGTACGAAGCACCAAAACATACAGGTTATCTTATATTTAGGTTCACAAGAGAAAGAGGCTGAGGTTGGCTTTCTATTCACCAGCTTCTTGTTCGAATTTTCCCACTCCACCTTAAATGGTGGCAGTATTCTGAACTGAAATGTCGTCATAGTTAGAACCGTGAAAGAATCGTTTTCCAGCAGTCATGAAACTTATCATAAAATGTCATAGCGTCACGTGGAGCACCCGCGACAGGCAACAAGAAACTGCATAAAGTATACAAGGTTGTAAGCTCACGAAGGCTCTTTCGGCTTCGCACAACCCTCCAGAATTTCGTTTCGCAAGAAGTATGCTGAGGCCTTTAAAGTTAAGGTTCGCCTCTATAAGCTGAAAACAAGCGAAACGTCAACAGCATCAATGCGCCCTCGCTCAACACAAATTCTTACTGGAGAAACTCGCCAGGCGAACTGATCGTTTTCCTCATGGTGGCTAAACAAAAGAAACAGCTCTCTCAATTTGACCTTTTTCAACAGCTTTTGCAGGTAAAACAAACCTAACATTCAACACAAAGCTGAAGTTGACTTCTTTGCCAGCTTCGCATTGGAATTTTTCCGTTCCACCTTAAATAGTGCAGCTGTTATGTCCCAGCGCCATCCGCACCGTTTAAGGTGGGACGGAAAATTCGACTAAGAAGCTGCTGGCAAAAAAAAAGTCAACTTCAGCTTTGTACATTTTGCTGTCTTTTCTGTCAACTTTGTTCAGCTCTGTTATTTTGGTTTCCTTTATTGTTTAAACATCATTGTGTAGACGTGAAAAAGAGATATTTCAATTAATGAGAGAATGAACAGTGTGGCATGTCTTATTTTGGCCACTTGGTGGGGCTATGGCTGTATGTTTAAAGAATCAATTTAAAATGTAATTATAACTTCATGATGATATATCACAACAACCTCCTGTTTAGGCTGTCCAGCCTTCTTGTGACAAACCAGGATGAGTAATTAACATTTGGATTTGATATAAGTTTTAGACATTAGGTTTTGGTTAAGAGCCATCCTGCTGGCCCACAAAAAGGATCTTTTACGTTCCAGTGTGTAACTCAGTGATTAAAAGGTATGATTAAAAGGTAGGTCAGCATCTGATTCCTGGCAGAAGCTGTAAAACAGAATTTGTGAGTCATTTAAATCCCAGTTTTATGGCTGTATCTAAACATGGTGGAGCCATAGCTATCATCTTTGGGGGTGTTAGGAGGTCTTGTGAACAAACAGTCTCTTAAGATGAACCCAGGTGCTGTGTTCATTACCCACTGAGCACTTTATTAGGACATCCAAATCATCCAAAGAGTGTCAGTTCTGCAGATAGAAATGCTTGATGAGAGCAGATGCCAGTTGATGAGAGCGGTCAACAGAGAATGGTCAGACTTGATTGAGCTGACAGAAAGACTAGAGTAACTTAGACAATCACTTTGTACAATTGTAATGAGCAGAAAAGCATTTCCAATGCACACCACATCAAACTTTAGGGTGGATGGGCAACAACAGCAGAATGCCACGTTGGTTTCCACTTCTGTCAACTAAGAACAGAAAGCTGAGGCTGCAGTGAGCGCAGACTCAACAAAACTGAACAGTTGACGACTGGGAAAACATAGCCTGTACTGATGAATCTTGATTTCTGCTGGGGCACACAGTTGGTAGGGTCAGAATTTAGTGCCAACAACATTAATCCATAGGCCCAACTGGTGTAATGGTGTGGGTAATGTTTTCTTGGCACACTTTGGGCATGTTAATACCAATCAGTCATCACTTGAATGCCACAGCCAGTTTGATTATTGTTGCTGACCATGTGCGTCCCTTCATGGCCACAATTTACCCTTCTTTTAATTGTTATTTCCAGCATGATATTACACAGTATCACAAAGCAAAAGTCATCTCAATCTGGTTAATGAACATAACAATGAGTTCAGTGTTCTTCAGTGGCTTTCCCATTTAGTGGATCCTAATCTAATAGAACACCTTTGGGATTTGGTAGAACAGGAGATTGGCAGCATAAAAGTGCACCTGTAAAATCTGCAGGAATTGCATGATGCAGTTATGTCAACATGGAGCAGAATTTCCAATATTTTGTGGAATCCATGCCACAAAGAATTGAGGCTTTTGAGAGCAAAGGGAGGCCCTACCCAGTAATAGTACAGTGTTCCTGATAAAGTGCTTGGTGAGTGTATGCTTCCAACTTTGTGGCAACAAATTGCTAAAAGCTTTTTCCTTTTCCAGCATGACTGTGGCCCTGTGCAAAAGTGAGGTTTACAAAGTTGTTGTTTGACAGGAACTCCAGAGGCCTGCAGAGAGCCCTGAACTCAACCTCACTAAACACCTTTGGAATGGATTGTAATGTTGATTGGAAGCCAGGCCTTCTTGTCCAGTGCCTAACCTCACAAATGCTCTTTTGACTGAATGGTCACAAATACCCACAAACACACTCCAAAATCTTGTGAAAAGCCTTCCTGGAAGAGTGGGGGCTGTTATTGCCACAAACAGAAAGGCCAATTATATATGAAAGTCTGTGGTTTTGGAATGGGATGTGCAACAAGTACAACACACTGTAGCATCCCACTACTGGCTCGTGCTGCCATAGAGGCTCATGGGAGCTGTGCACTCACTGTAAAAAGGGACATTTATGTTGTTAATGTTGTGGTTTGTTAGTTTAAAGGTATGTGTTTCCGTGTTGGAGGGTGTGGGTGTTTTGTGTTGAGAGTTGGTCACCACAGGGTGGAAGCCTACAGCTGGTGGCGACCTCCCCTGTGAGTTTAGTGCTTTGTGTCTTATTGCTCTGGTGTTTAATAAAGAGCACTTCTCATGGAGGAAATCATATCCTGCCTTGTGTTGTACTCTATACCAACACCACAATATGTTTGGCCTTATTCTATATGTCACTGTTACAATTCTTTCCATTGCTCGATCAGTATAGATCTCCATAGATCAACTGTACATCATTCTCCATCACTGGTAGCATTGAATACACTGGTATACTAATGACTGCATACATACAGATCTTGGCTGATCTGGCAGAAAATAGTTCAGCAAATTACTTAGTCTGTTGTGTGGAGGCTTTTCTAAAGTATGTAATATTCCAGTCCTTGTATGAATTTCATAAGTAGCTGTTGTTTATAGCATTACCACCATTTCAATGACAACGGCACAGTGAACAGAAATAAAGATTTGCTTTAGCTTTAGACTTCCCATTTAGCAAAATTTGTCTGGCCCACTTGTGGGCCACATCCTTGGTTTGTTCTGGCCCGGTATATGGCTGGGTCCTCAGCCCAGATCTGGCCCACACACTGTAAAGTAAGAAGAACTAAAGGATATGGCCCAAATCTGGCCCAACTACACTGTTTGTCCACAACATTCACACTAAAAATGTCCCACAAATGTAGACAAATCAGATGAAGCTGTCCAGGATCTGGCCCTATTCTGGCCTGCATGTCTAACATCTACCTGGCAATCAACCAACACTAACATAAGAAAGCCAGAATCAGCCCAAAACCGTCTGCTACCTGGGATAGTTGTTGATGTGTAGTCTTGTGTTCAAGCAGGCACCTTTGCAAACCAAAATAAATTGGTTGAGTTGGATGTTCCATCCATTTAAATAACAGTCCCATCATTACCTCTCTGGTCCTCATTGTTATGCCTCAACATGAAAAACAAGCCTTCTCATTATTCGGAAATAAATATAGAAATGAGTTAATGAAATAATATTAAAAAATTAAAAACAAAATACAGAAATGAATAAATGAACACATCCAACCAAAAGAAATAATACGTAGGCTACGCAATTTTGTTATTTTTAAAAGATATTATTATAATTAGGTCATATTTTATAACTTTTTCATATATGTGGGACATGCGGGGGGGGTGCGTGAGTTCTGCATCATTTGTAATTTTCTTTAATGTTTCTTTGATACTTATATAAATATCGCATATGCAGGAGAAAGGGAAATAGAGACATTAGCAGTGGACAGATACGCTCTAGCGGGCTGTGCAGTCAAGCACAGAATGTAAAAGACTCCGAATGTCCGCGTGATCTTTTTTTCTGAGGGAAGAGGGGTTGGGCTCAAGCAGCAGTGCAGCTATTATTCCGCTGTTCCTCAAAATGGCTTGCGGTTTGCTAAATCTATGCGTGTATGAGACAAATAAGCTTGTCAAAATCAAGAGCGTAAAACTCGGAACCTTAAAATGGACACTAAACGGAGTTGTGCTGCTGTTTATTTGGTGAGTGGGGTTCGATATAAGGACTGTGTCCGAGGCTTAGCTTCAGCATGCTCATCATACGCTACATATTCGAATCAAAAATACGCGAAGCAGCCTATAAATGAATGCCAGTGTAGGCGAATGATGTATACATATCTGTAATCCTTGTCTCTAAATCATGTTATATCTTTGGCTGTGTTGCTTTAGGCTTTTGGGCTTGTTGGAGTCTCGTGGCTAGTTAACGCATTTTCATGTTAGATCTCAAACTTTTTTTACCAGTTTCATGATGCTGTGGAATAAAGAATATCAAGAGTATGATTTTGTTGCGAGTTCTGTAACAACAAAAGTCAAGGGAGTGGCACATACAAATATCCCTGAGATCGGCGAAGTCGTGTGGGATGTTGTGGATTACAGTGGACTTTCTCAGGTAACACTTACTTTCTTGAGAAATATTGCGCTGTGACGTGTTGTGTTTTTTATGGCTCTATGTTTGTTTTCCAGGGAAAGAACTCATTTTTTGTGGCTACAAATATTATAGTCACCAAGAACCAAAAACAGGGTAAATGCCCAGAGGTATGTAGAGACGATTGAACTTCATATTTACATGTTTTTATATTGGTAATATGTTTACAGTTTTTAAATAGGTTGGGTTATATGCGTCTACAGGTTGCACCTTGGGGTCTGTGTCAAACTGATAAAGACTGCAAGAAGGGGTTCTCAGACCAGCAAAGCCATGGTATTGCCATGTGTCTTCTGTTTATTTGTATCCTTTGTCCCATTTTTTAAATCTTGGATAATTAGCCAAAGCATGTTATTTTCATTATTTTTATAAATCACTTTGTATTTTTGTTGTAATCAGGGATTCAGACAGGATCTTGTGTGAAATTAGATATCCTGAGGAAGACATGTGAAGTGTCAGCCTGGTGCCCAGTTGAGAACCGAAAGAGTCCACCCAGGTGTAGTATTTTATATGCAGTGTCATTTATTCTGAGTATAGATGTTCATGTTTTATGGATAAGAAATATATTATTATATTGGATGCATAAGAAGTAAAATACCTTTTATATATTCTCAGTCTTTGTTTTGTAAGTAGTCCCTGCTGCTGTTGTGATGGTAGCAACAGAGCAATTTTAAGGAACTTTTTAGAGGAAGTTAAACACAACACATTAGACAGTGAGTCATATTGGTTTGCATCTTGCTTGGCTAGTCAATGTATGCTTATTTTCAATATGAGAAGATCCTAGAATGCTAGGATTAAAATTACATTTTTTTTCTTTGTTTCTGTCCAGACCTGCCCTTTTAGCATCTGCAGAAAACTTCACTGTGCTAGTCAAAAATAACATCAGATTCCCATCCTTCAATTACATAAGGTAATGCTTGATTAACCAACAACACTATTCACCACTATTTATAATGCAGTTGTGTATTGCTTCAAATCCTTCACATGTGTTTAACTGAAATATTATATCTATTTTACTTTTAGCTAATAGACACTTTTTTTTTTTAATAGAAGAAACATCTTACCTGAAATGAAGGACACAGACCTGAAAGGTTGCCTTTACAATCGCTACACCAATCCATATTGTCCCATATTCCGTTTAGGAGACATTGTGCATGAAGCTAAGGAGAGATTCTCTGATATGGCAGTGGAGGTTATAGACTTTCAGCATACTGTTTGACTATTATTTGCAGGAATACTGGCATTAGCTGCTAAATTCTTTAATGCCAGTAATTATCTACTTCATAGGGTGGTGTAATTGGGATTCAGATCAATTGGAATTGTGACCTGAACAGGTTCTTCCACAGCTGTCTGCCAAAATATTCATTTCGCCGTTTGGACGAGAAAGAAAGTAACCGGACCTTGTATCCAGGGCTAAACATCAGGTAGTGAAAATAATAAACATTATATTCTCTTCCTCTATGGTTTCTAAATGTAAATTAAGGGTTATAAAGTACATAATCTTCTGTTTTTGAGAGATATTTTCTTTTGAAAAAAGAAAAAAGATTTCATACTAAATTGCAGGTTTGCCAGATACTCTACTATAAATGGTGTGGAACAGAGGACTTTGTTTAAAGTGTACGGCATTAGGTTTGATGTCATGGTGTTTGGAAAGGTAAGAACATTATGAGCATTGTGTTTATTATTAAATCAATAAAATGCATAAGTGCATTACAAAGTGTATTAATTTATATTTATGAGGTTCTTTATTTTTTTATTGTGTTTTTGTTCTTTACAGGCTGGAAAGTTCAGCATCATTCAGCTGATTATCTACATTGGATCAACTCTCTCATATTATGCTCTGGTAAAAATTATCCTTTTTCATCTAGTTGATATGGTTGAAAGGAGCATAAAATAAAGAAAAAATACTTTGTTTCTGATAGACCACTGTCTTCATTGACTGGCTCATTGGGACAAACTGCTACTCAAGAAAAGCTAACCACAACTACTCAGAAAAGAAGTTTGAGTCGGTACAGGATCAAAAGGTGAAACATAAAAGACCTAATTTACTCAGTAATTGTAATTTGTAAACTGTAATTTACGTGAGTGTTTGGTGACCATTATAGTCACTATTTATAGATCCCTGAAACATAAAACTGCTGAAACTTTTTAAAACTATAACACTGTTTTTTGTCCACCTTACAGTACCTCCTTTGTGTGTCATTTGTGGATGAAGAACAGCTAAGAGTGGTGAAAAAGTCACGAAACATAGGACTACAGGAGACTAAGCCACTCTCCCAGCACCAGTGGAAGGTGAGGTCATCAAGTAGTGTGATGCATTCATTTTCAAACTTGTAAACACACAGCTGTGCACTATTAATATATACATAAACATAGATTTATAAGTAAATAGGTGAAAAGGCCACAGTAAGCCCACATAAAATAAGCATGTGAATTTATACAAAAAAAAAGACATATCGCTGTTGTCGGAAGAAAACCTCACATCTCCAAAATGGTAACTTTACAGGAAAAGGAAAAAACCTACTTTACTTTTAATGTAAGTCAATGGAACCAGACATTTTTCTGAGTCATTTTGGGCAGTTTCTTTTGGTCCATTTATCATGAAATTTACATACAACATAAAGGCCAACAGGTATTTTCAAATTATGCCAAAAACTGAAAAACAACAAAAATAGGGATACAAGGTTTTCTTCCAACAGCAGCGATATATTAAAATATACTTATATTTTGCCATATATCATTTACCAAAATGAACATTTAAATTCATATTTAACATAATCAAGCAGGTTTTATATGATGTATTTAATGTAATTAATGGTCTTATTTAATACAACAAATTGAAAGAACATTGCAAAAAAACAGAAAAAAAACAAACAAAAAAAACACTCATTGAACTTAACTGAAATACAGGTGGCTTAAAGGATACAAGGGGCCCCTTTAAGCCCACCTGGTTGCCCAGTAAGTTCCCTCAAGTCAAGTAATTTATTAATCATTGTTTTTAGGTAACTTTAACAGCCTTGACATATGTCAGTGTTCTAATCTTTTATTATTAAAGAGTGTTTCTTTCCAAGACATATTATATATTAAAACTAAAAATTGGCTTATGTGGTACATATGTTTATAAGGCACAATAACAGGGATAATAAGAGCGACCATTTCAGAGTTTGTGCTCAATTAAAAACAGGGTGTTCACAGAGTATAATTAATCATGGTCAGAGATCTAAAATCCCAGATCAGTAGCGTAAAAAATCAAAAGGGGAAACCTTTTGACCAAACTTAACAAGCAAGCATTCACACATAATAGAACATAAGCAACGACTTTAGATTTAATAAATCATGAACTTGCTTATTATTATAAGACAGTAAAATGAAAATAGTGAAAGAACACTATTACTACTTAGCTAATATTAGTTAGCAAGTTAGCTAACTGTGTCTCTATATTAGTGTGTGCTGGAGTTCAAATAAAACAGTCATCTATCTGCTTTGGGGGGTCTCACAGTAGCGACCTGTGAGTCTGCCATGTGCGTGATTCACTCATCACACAGCGGGAGAAAAAAGCGAGTCAGAATTATGCCATAATTCTGTTCTATTGGATAGGAAAATTCAAGTGTACAGCAATACTTATCTGACTGTTTTTTTTTTTTTTTTTGTTCCATGAGTCATTTCTTTTGTGCAATTACACATTTGTCTTTAAGCTTTCTATGTACTGAACATTACAGGTATTTGAAAAAAAATGTTCTTTGCTTTGTCTCTTGTTTAAATTTTAACTAGCCCACAAAGATGTCAGCTACAGCAGGTCTGTTACATGTGGTCAAGAGAAAGGACAACAGTGACGATGTTGAGCTGCACTCAGTTTTAACTGTACTGAAAACTAGTATGCGAAATGCTAGCCAGTATTACTTTTTCAGTGTGTTAGGTAGTTTAACAACATGCAGAAGATGTACACAAGAAGAGTACCATTCAGAACATAACCTATGATATTCTCTAACTCTCTTATCATTAGGATAACCTGGTTGGCATGAGGGCTTTGCTTGGTGTCCTACAGCGTGAGCAGAACATAAACCCCCTTATACATAATGGTCAGTGCAATGAATTCAAAGCAGATAGAGCGCTCTCTACTGAGCACAGTGGTTTGGTCACAGACACACCTCTGCTGGAGATACCCAGCTCTAGATGCCCAGACTGGTGCCAGTGTGGCTGTTGTCACTCCTCAACCAGCATCCATGAGCAACTGTGCTGTCGAAAGAGCAAAGGTCGCTGTATCATCACTTCCCCCCTCTTCCCTGCTCTGGTACTTACTCGTTCCATCTTGGAGATTGCTCTGCTCTATGTAGCACCCCTTGCAGAACAACACGAGGATGACCAACTGCGCCAACAGGCCTACGCACAGTATATCAAATGGCGGTTTGGGGACTTCACACCCATGGATGCTGTTCCTGTAATACCCAGTTGCTGTGTATGGAGAATTAGGGAACAGTATCCCAGCCCTGATGGCAAATATAGTGGGTTCAGATTCTGTTAGGCCCTCTTACTCTAACACCACCAAAGAGGTTCTTTACTTTACACATTTAATTCAATATTTACTTAATCCTGGTGGTCATGCAAAACTGGAAATCCACTAACTTTAACTGTTTCATTAAATGAGCTCTCCCTAGCTTTGCTCTGATCTGTAGGTATGGCAGAAGCACATACATGCATATGTATATGTTTACTTGGCTGCAATTCAAGTTTGATAAACAAGACAGTAATATAAAAATTGTAAAATGCCAATGCAAAATAATAAAAAAAGATGATTAACAAGAATGTTTAATTCTTTACTTCCTTAGGTCTTTGTACATTACAAAATGAATTTGTTTTAAAGAAAATCCTTTTATAGGCATTGGAAATAAAAATGATAATAGCAGAATCAAGGTCATCCAATGCATCACTGAGTCCCATAGGATGTGCTTCCAATGGAGTGCTAAAATAATTACAAAGGAAAAAATACTGTTAGAAATATCGCTTCAGTGGCATTAATGAAGGTGGATTGGACACATATCAGCATACAGAGCATTAATTAATAGCATCTAAGTATCAACCTTAGCATCAAGATATTCACAGTGCACAAAAAATGTTAGCTCGTTTGTGAATGACAGACTTCTGCAAAATTAGCAATAATTGAACAAACAATGTATCATGCAGCTTAAATGCCTGCTTGAGAAAGATCATGGTCACCAGTGCCTCAGTATCCTCCATTTTGTCCAAGTGGATGAACTTATGCTTAGCATAGTAGTGCCTTTTCTTCATGAAGGTCAGCATGAACCAGTCACATATAGCATTTACCTGTAAGAAGTTTGGGACCATTCTGAAATTGTTTTCAGTATTGTTACGACTACAAGCTAGGATCATTTAAAAAAAAAAAATGGACTCAGTACCTACCAAACTGAGGAAGGAGAGAGTGGCTCCAATATTTACTATTGCCTGCACAGTGCTAAATTTGCCTGCCTAGAGAGAAATATTACACAGTACACAGTTGAGCAGCAGCACAACAGTGAAATATTTCAAGAAACATTGTTTTTTTTGACAGACTGTTGGCTGTAGACATCTTACCGTGCCAAAAACGATGACATCAAATCGGATTCCATAAGCTTTTACCAGAGTCCGTGTCTCAGTATTTTCACTGTTTTTAAAGTATTTGGCATACCTGTAAGAAGAAGAATTTTCTGCACCCTGAATACTGAAACTAAATTTTTGTCTGTAAGGTAACTTAGTATTTTACTACCTGAAATTATATCCATGGGCAGCATTATTTTTAGAGTTTTTGTTATCTAGTCTGCTGAATGAGTACTTTGGGACACAGAGTTGTTCTGGCATGTCCAAATCACAAGTCCAGTCCAGGAAAATCCCCATAGCACCACCCTTCAAAAAAATAAAAATAAAAAAAAATAAAATATGATCTTGTCTACCACTTTTGAACAAAAGAATTTTGCTTGTTGCTGTTCATGGAAGGTTGGTTTTGTTTTCAATTACATTCTTTCATTCTGTAGGCAATCATAAGTGAATTCTTTCAAGTTTAGATGAAAATAGTTTAAAATGCACTAGGCAGTTGGCACATGGCACAGTGTACTGCACTAACCTCAGTTGAGCCTTGTAGCGTTTTATTGCTACTTGAGCATGAGTAAAGAAAAAAGAAGGCTGTAGCACCAACATCTTGCTCTCTGTATCCTGAGAGCTTTAACAGGTTATTACCATTTTTATGTTAACAAATAAAACTTGTTCTGTGATGTGATCTCAGCCAATTGGAGACTTAAAAAAATGTATATGCATATTCATACAAAAAATGCTTCAACAATTTCAAGCAATAATAACCCCAAAGCTTATGTGGACACAACCTGTTTGTTTTATTTGATTTTTTTGTGATATGTGAATACCTGTCTAACCACTCTGGGCTTATTAGGATGGAGAAATGATAGGAGGACCCAACTTAAACTTTTATCATGATTGTACTAGGAGACTATCAAAAAAGAACCATGAGTGAGGGAAAAATGACTTTATTTTGTCTTGTAATTACACTTTTAGGGATTGATCAAGACTTTTTGGTCATTAGCTTGTTTTGGGGAGTCTTCAGCACTTTTACACTTTTTCAGGGTCATCGACTTTTTTTAGTAGTGCCCATTTTGCACATTATAGTGCACCAGCGTAACCTAAGCCCATGAGTCTCTGCTGACTATTTCAGCATCGACAAGTGCATGATGACTGTCAGACAAAGTTTTTATGAGTTGTTGCTGTGATGAGCTAACTTTTATATTGAATTGACAGATTGCCTAAAAAAAAAAAACTTCTTGGTAAACTTGTTCAATCAAAACAGCTGTGTTTTATAGATACCTTTATAGTTTCTCTATTTTAAAGAGGGCAAGAGATGTTAATAATACTTACAAAAGATTAAGCATTGTAGGAAGATTAAAAGCAGAATGTGCATGATTCTTTACAGTGTCATTGTGTACATGTCGTTTACAATCAGATGGGTACTATTTACTAATGCAGTTAACACACTGAAAGAAGAGCAATGCCATAGCATCCACTTAGCTACCCCTTCGTTACGTTTGGGCAAATCTGATGAACAGTATAACTTTTCAGCAGCAGAACGAGATATACATAAATATGAAAAAATATAAAGCAACTATTATAATGCCAAAAGCGCCACTGCTAAAGTGTCAGCAGTGACAGTGTAGTTTTTGCGGTTACAATTGATTTACTTTCTACATATAAACAAAATATGATTTCTTGTTCCTGAAAAGTCAGAGCTAGCCTCTAAGCAGCACCAGTGTTCTAAAGATTTATCCAACATATCTAAGTGTTTTTAATGTTAATTCAGCCTTACCTCAAGTCTACTGTACAGCTTTGATTTACAGATTTGTCCTATCAAAATATCCTACTTATTCTTTTGAAGCCGCTAGCAGCTATCAATTTCTTAAACCGACATTAAAGCTATCAAAATATTCTTTCTATATATTTGAATTCTGGTAGGTTTTTTCAGTAAGGTGATTGAGGCTATCAAATACTGTACCCAGCGGTGCTTTAATCTGCTTGTGGGCCTGGGGCTACAGGTGGTCCTGGGCCATAAACACATTGTCCAAAAAGTCAAAACCTTTGTTTTTAATGCAGGTACACAGACCACTACTGACTTCCAGTACATGACTTCTTATCCGCAAGTTTTGTTTTGTTTAATTTTTTTTTTTAATTTTTCGTTCGACCTTTCCTTCCATCAAGATGAAACTTCTACCATGATGCCGCAGGAAAATTCAAATAAGAAACTGGTGAATCATCCATCCGATTCAGTGGCACTGGAAGAAGTAAACTTTTGAGCAGGCCTATGAAAAAGTGAGTAGGCTGGCTTGGTAGACACAATTTCCAAACCCAAAGAAGACGATATGAGATAAAATAAAACACAAGATGTACCAAGACAAAGAAAAACAAAACAGCAAATTTAAAAACTAAACCAAATTATTGTATGTAAAGCATACATGCTGTGGGAAAATGTTTCTGGCCCATTCTTGCCCTACCTTTGATGCAGTGTCATAGTGTTAGATGTTCGCATTGACATTTTCACAAATCCCATTTTAGCCATTGTAGAAAAAGAGCATTGTAAATGCCAAATTCACAGAAAAACAACGATGAGAAAGGTAGAAAATGACATATTGTGTAGAACGGAATCTCACGTTTAACCGTCCTGAAGCGCATCTTTTATCCGAAGTTGGAGCATCAAATTGAAACACTGGTGTGCTGATAACAATTTGAGCTTGAGGCGTTGGCGGGAGGGCTTAGAAAAGAAGGCGGAGCTTGGCAGAGCGTAATAATTTGATTGGCTATAATACAGTGACAGCACTCAGAGAACACAAATCAAATTTTAGTATCTTAAAAAATGTACTTAATAATTTAATCCACATTTGATTGGCTAAGACTTTTATCAGTCAGGGTAGGGTGAAAATAATAAGAAAAAACAGCCAATCAGAGGCCCTGAATTACTCGGGGCCCCTGGGCTTCAGCCCGTGCATTAAGTCACCCATGATCATACCACTAGTTTACTGTTGGTAGCATGTTCTAATACAATATTAGTATTATAACGTCTCCAAAAATTACTGCGGTATGCGGTATTACCAGGGCGACCATTGAGGAGGCGGGGTTTGTGTGGTGTTGTTCAGATTGGCAGGTTGTTGGGTAGCAAGGGGTTGAGGGATGGGGGCACTTATAAAGCTTTTTGCTGTCTCATGTAGCACTATTTCAGAGTGAAAAAAAACATGGTTACCAAACATGTGAACACGGTGCACAAGTTTTACGGTATTTGAACAGATGATAAATGTTAAACAGTGCTGCTAACCAGGAGAGGTTGTGTGACTGGTGTTGGAATGAAAGTTGAAACTGAATGTGTTTTGTGGTGTGTGAAACAAATGTGAGGTTCTGATATGTGTAGTTTTTTGCCTTGGCTGGGCTGCCATCATGCTTAGTTATTCTGAGGTTTTTCCTGGCTCTGATTTCCCTCCTTTTTCTGTTCATGTCATCTATTGCTGAGCTCTCACACCATCAATCAGTGAGCCCTTTAAAGTATAAATTGGTGGAATGTGTTTATTTGTCCAAATAGAATTTGATGTCATAATTTTGAAATACTGTCGTAATTTTTAAATAGTCGTAATTTTTACCTCTCACGGTACACCATATTACCACCATAACGCTCAACCCTAAGATTTAGGCTATATCCTACCTACAGTTAAATATCCTTACTTGCAGTTTTTATATAGTGAGATACCTATAAATATGCATTATTGTAAGACATGTAGAAATGTAGCCACTGAGTGCCTTGCAAATTGATGCCAAATGCCATCAGCGTTGTGTGCACATTCATTAAAAACAATTGTTTACAATTTTTCAACACTGCACTTGGTGTGCAGTGGCCCTCAGTATAATAAGACAGATCTTCTCAAAATACAGTTTCAAAACCTTATACATTGTTTGGGCCCATACTCAAGAACAAGAAGAAGAAGATAAATCCTAAAAACAACCGGATTCCGTTGGTGCTTTAACTCCTAATAATGTTTGAGTAAAGTTTTTGTATTGCCATTTATGGTCATGCTTTAAAAATCATATGAATATGAATATATTCACAGAACTGAAAAAAGAGAATGTGAAAAGAAACTGACCTTGACAGCCATATTTCGAAAGTCTTCCCCAGCCTCTGCTAGCATGTCCCCCATGCGGAAAATAGGACACTCTGGGTCAGTTTTCCGATTGAATGTGCAGTTCATCAGGTAAGAAGAATTGATGTAGGGCAGAATATTTTGCCTATAGACACACACACAAACAAAAAACACAAATCAGTCATGTCAAAAATCTTTCAACAAATATGTTAAAAATATGTTGAAAACAATTTCTCCACTTTGTAATTCAAGACCCTTCCTTTCTGTATACTCTCTGTTTCTGATGTGCTCTATATTACACTATATGTCCAAATGTCTGTGGACACATCCAGTGTTTCTTTAGTAAAGAAAATGGTTCCACCATTGTTACAAGCCATCCCTGTGTCCTTGGTGCAATGGCTCCTCCTCTGCCCTCTGCCACCATGAGGAAATCCAGCACAAGTATGCACAAATCCTCACATCTCAGGCCACCCACCACAACTTGGAGCTGCCTCCTCCCTATTATGTCAGCTCAGCTGCTGGTGACGGACTTGAGTTGGATGGTCATTGCTTCTCAGTTGGCACGTGTGCCGATCTCTGTGCAAAGGAGCATGCTTGGACGTAGCAATATCTATGCAACATTTGACCCTAAGTCTGCAGCAACAGCCAGTCTTCCTGGCTGGCTTCTGTTTCACTGCCTGGTCAGGTTCATGGCATTATCTGGTGCGGTGTCCCCTCTTCCTGCAGTGCAAGCACACTAGTCACTCCGCTGCTGCTCGCTCTGGGCCCCACCTGGCACGCTGTCTCCTACTTGAGCTCACCACAGCGTTTTCACGCAGAGAATTCTGAGAGTTCTGCCCTTCCTGCCTCAGCGGCAGCTTAGCTACTCTAAGCTCCTCCATCAACAGCACATTGTATATACAGGAGGCACAAGTATATATAGTGTGACTTCCATCACTGTATATAGTATGGTGAATGAGTATGGTATGAGTATGATGATGGCCACACCCCCTAAGCGCCTCACAGCTGTGCGGAGCCTACAGCGAATGTCAAGGCATTAATAAGGTGTTTGTCCTCCCTTTCCTGCAGTAACAGCCTCTACTCTTCTGGGAAAGCTTTACACAAGATGTTGGAACATTGCTGTAAAGATTTGGGTGCATTCAGCCTCAAGAGCATTTCTTAGATCAGGAATTCACTAGAGTTGAATTAGAAAAGGTGTTTAGAGCATATAGTGTAGTTTACTGTTTCCAATAGACTTTCCAGCACTAGAACTGAAAAAAAACTTACTTCCTGAACTTGAACTTGGGATAGTGGATGCTATTTTTGATAAGCACAGTGAAATCTTCTGCAGACTCCAGCAAAGCAGGCCTATAAATAATAAAAAAAACATAGCTTCAGCTTTAAACTCTGCAGAATGTACAACAACTGTTGTACTTTCCCCTTTGGATTATATTATGGAGGGTATTTCTAGTTTAATATTCACTTACTCAGGAATTTCAGTGTCATTTTCAAGTGGACACCATGAACGCACCTCACAGGTTTTAACAGAGGCTGAATAGTTCACACATAGTCCAGTCTGAACTCCTGTGAGTAACACTCTTAGTCATTCAGCTTAATTCATATATTTGCATTATAAAATATCCATTAACAATAAGGCCAGTTGGGACATTACAGCGTACCGTTTCCACGGACATTACTGTATCCAGGTCTGCAGTCACTGTCTGAAAGGCAAACAGTAGATGGGCCTGGAACCTGAACAAAAGAAAATTTCTAAATGTGTTTACTGTGAACATTTTGGAAGATGTAACATGCAGCTTGGGCATGTCAAGTAAAGTAGACTAGTGCTGCACAATATTAATAGAATTCATTATCCTAATATTTTCCAAATTTATATATATATATATATATATATATATATATATATATATATATATATATATATATATATATATATTTAATGTGTGTGTGTGTGAGACATAAATTTCAAATGGGATGATATGTGAAATGTCAATAAAAAAACAAAGTAAATTAGTAAATTTTGTTTGATCTGTATTACACTGAAAACATTACAAAAATGCAATATTTTATGTTTACCTTATGGACTTATAATACCAATACAAATCCAAATTTGATGCCTGCAACACATTTCAAAAAAATTGAGGGAGGAGCATGTTTACCACTGTGTTACACCACCTTTCCTTTTAACAGCAATTAATAATCGTTTGAGGATGAAAGACACTAATTGATCCAGTTTTGAAAGTGGAATTTTTTTATATTCTTCTGTTATACAAGTCTTCACCTGTTCAACCGTACACAGTCTTTGTTGTCATATTTTGAGCTTAATAAGACGTTTTCACTGGGAGACAGGTCTAGACTGTAGACAGGCCAGTTTTGCACCCTCTGATTATGCAGCCATTCTGTTTTAACACATGCCGAGTGTTTTTTGGCATTGTCATGTTAAAATAAAAACGGACATCCCTTTACTGGATGCTCCTTTCATACTCAAGCTTGATTGCATCACCTGTTTTTTGAACAATTCACAATGTTCCTAGTCATAAACTGCTCCTGTCACAACTTTTTCTGTAATGTATCACAGGCATCAGTTTCGGAATGAGCGTGTATTTACAAAAATACTAAAAAGGTCAAACAATCTTTATACTGCTTCTGTTTACATACAGGTAAAAGTGGATTTACAGATCAATGGTATTTGTTTTTATTTGCATTTCACATACTGTCCTAACTTTTTTGCAACCAAATCTGTAAAACTATTTTTTTTCTCTTATAGTTTTATAGTTTTTTAGGGGATGTGCACTGATAGTGTAATGACCAGGATTAGGCAAGGTACATTCACATTCAGCTTTATTAGGGCTATTCCAGCACTCGTGCTGGTCACAGGCAAGAGTCAATACACAAGCAGATAGCAACAGATCTATAATCCATAATCAAAAGGCTGGGACCTGTCTTATGAAACACATTCAGCGTAGACAAGGTTACTGACTAGTTTTTAAGCTTCATAAATCCTAACAAATGAATCCATGGGTAACTTATTTTACCATGGTGATTACCTTGCTCTGTTAACCCAGGTTCAGATACTTGAGCTTTAATTAATTCTAAGGGACAGTTATTATTCTTGGGCTATTATGCTGTTACTGTCCCAGTTGCTTTACGTTACACTATGAAATTTAATCGGAGCTATTGCTTGACTGTTCACAGAGTGAATTTTGTTGTAGTGCACTACTTTCACTGAAACAACACACTGTGCCAGGACAAGCAGTTTGGTTTCCTTAGTGTGGTACTACTCTTTGTGTGCTATTGCTCTCGTACTATAGGTGTAGACAGTCCTACTATTTGTCTGATATTGGACCATAAAAAACTGGAAGGTTTAAATTGATATAAAATGTTGCTTTTGTTCATGTAACCTATTAATTTGCTTTATCTTGTTTCATTCAAAAAACTCATATAATAAAATCAATTAAATTGTTTGTTACCACATAATATAAAGCACAAAATGTCAGCAGTTAATTCTGGGCAATGTTTTCCATACAACATAAACTATACAGGGAGATGTTCTTTGTTATGTTTGCTGCTCTAGTTTCAGCAAAGCATAAGTATTTGAACAAATAAATTTAAAGCTAAATGATGTTTAAAGTTAGTATTTGGTTCCAAACCTTTTACATGGAATAACATCATCAGACTCTTGACAATTTAATCTGAAATCACAGACCTTTATGGCAGTGTCTTTCAGATGATACTTGTTTTGGAGTTGTTCCGACTTCAGTTTCCTCTTTTAACAGGTAAAATGCTTAATATGGTTTAAATCAGCAGACTGACCTGGCTGCTTTTTAGATTTATACCCTGTCTTCCAATCAACTTCTTGTTTAAATGTTCAGTATGCTTTGTGTATCCCTATCACTCCTCTTCTCTTTCTTCTCTCTTTTTCTCAGGCAACTGCATATCCTATGTAGGTTCTGTGGCTAAATAGTACACCAATAACATACTATTTAGTATGGTAGGTGAAAAAACATTGGGTTCAAAATAAACCCAATATTACTCAATTACAGCATCTTCATTTGTTTTATGCACCAGAGAAACCTACATACAAATTGTCATAAGTTTATTTGTGGTACTCAATGCCAGAACAAATAGTAGGCTAAACATGTATTTATAGAACACTTAAAGAGATTAATGTATAATGTTCATCAAAGAACATTTAAACAGTAAAATAAAACAGATCACTACACACACCCCCAATCCCAAATTAAAGGCTCATGCCACAAAGTATCAGTTTTATGCTGTACCTCTGGGCATCTGCTTTGCATCTGTGCAGGAGTGACAATCACATTTGTCAATACAAAGAATGAGTTTTCTCCCTGCCATAAAAAAGAACACAGTGAATAACACTTTCCTTGTGATGTATGCAGCATGTAGTACATCTAGCAGGTCTGAAAGAACAATTTCCATTTATAAACGTTATTACCACTGTTACATAGAAAAAAGTCTTGCTTCTCCTTGTTCAAATAGGGCATATTTGAACACTGAGTTTCATATCTTTAGGTACCTGTGGGGGGATGATGTATTCAGCCACATCCCAAACATGAACACCCATAATGGATGTGTTAGTGATGGCAGTGCCCTTTACTTTTGTGGTTACAGAACTGACAACTGAGTCTGTGTCTTGATAGGCCTGCTGCATCCAACATTCATACCTGATGGGTTGAACACACAGACCATGTAATATATAATGGTGATCAATTCATCATGCCAAATATCAGTTTTATTTTTTCAGTGATCAATTCCTCATGCCAATTACTCTTTTTACTCTACACTCAAAGCAATTTTTAATTGGAGACAAAAAGACATGGAAAAATATATAATGTTAACTCTTAGTTCAGTTCTGGGAAGCTTCAGGCATGTACTTTCTCATCTTGGAAATATAATAAGAAGGTTCCCCATAAATAGTAGAGGCATAAGGATTCAGGGTCCTGATCCTTCTTTTTCATACCATGATAAACAGAATCCAAGTCAACCAAGACATGTTTTTTAGGCAGTATTTGTGCTGCTTTAGATACTGTCTAGTTAGCTCATACTACAAACATTTTGGGTTAAATATGAGAGTCTATATCAGGGGTACAACAAAGCAGGAGGTCACCTGATGAGATGTTTGATGACTAAGACCAACTGATTAAACAAGTAGAATCAGGTGTGCTTCTGCTTGTTTGGAGTGAAAACCTGCAGCCACAACGGCCCTTTGCGGATAAGATTGGACACCCCTGGTCTATGTAAACTTCCCAACAAGTAGCAAGAAGCAGTAGCTCATTGTCTCACCTCACAAGAGCTAGTCTTTTAAAATTTCTAATAGTCTCTTGTCCCTAAATTAGCATCAAAAATTAATAAGTGCCTCCATTTATTCTTCCTATTGTTTATTTAATTAGACCCTTTGTTTACTATTATGGTCTTATCAGAAAGTTTTACCTGAAAAAATGTTTTTGTACAATGTTACAAAAATATAGCAGAACTTGTACTCACAAAACGACGTAAGCAATTATCAGCATTTGGATTAACCTGAAGACTGCTCCCACTCTTTTGCTACTAATCACCAGCATTACAGGTGTCTCATAATCAAACAGGCAGCTGACACAGCTTTTGCAGCAGCCTTTGTCACAAGCCATACTGAAGGCAGCTCTAGGACTGACAAAAGAGTAGTAGTCATGTATCTCAGAGTCCTTTGTGGTACCTGAGCTCAGATAAGAGACCACTAAGTTTAAATATTATCCCTTTCAGCCGTTTGGTTTTATTGCCAATAGTATGAACATAAATCATGCTGCAAAATGTGACATGACTGTACTGCGTTCACTTTCAGCTTCTTATGCATTATTTACAGAGTACATTAACAGTAGCTGTAAACTAATGGCCTATCAACCCATTTTCTTACTATCTGCTTTGGCTTATTTTTGTTAAACATTTGTTTATATTCTGAAAATGTACCTAATACAATGTCACAAAATAATAACATAAGTCTTGCTCACACAAACAATGACCATTAACTGAATAAACCTGAAGACTAAAGACTATTCGAGCTATAAGAAGCCATGGTGAAGACCAACTCTAGAACGGATAAAGCAGTAATAGCTCTATATCTCATACCGCCCTTTACTTAGCAATGGGCAGCAAGTTTAAATATGATGCCTTTCAACCGTTAGATATCCTTTGTTCCTTCTGCTATAAATGGTGCAATATAAGAACCACAATCAAACAGTGCTCAAACATCATATCATACTCACTAAACTGAGCAAAGACAAGCCTGTACACCTCCATAGGACCATTTACTGGAAATGACTTGGACTGGCTTTAGCATGCTTTTGTTCAAGCTTCATTTACTTATTATTTTTTTTAAAAAAAGAATCAATCCAACCATTGAATTGAAGAACTGGAAAATTATACATATATACATCTAGACGCCAGATGAATATCCTGGACAACAAGTCAGTATTACGTATACGTATTCAGGCTATGCCATGTCACAGGGAATGTGTGGTCTGGGAGACAAACACACAAATAATAAAAACCTTACAATATCGCAAAGCTTTATTTCTGTGACAGGAAATCAAAATGCAGTTGATTTGAAAAATATTGAAAAATATATATATAGAGAGAAAAATACTGTTATAAAAAAATTCTGAAAACATTTATCTTCTCTTTTGGAATATATTCCCTCTGCCAGGTCCTCCTCGTCCGCGACCCCTGGCAGCCACTGTTAAAACACATTAAATTGATTTATAAAAGGGATTCACAACCAATTTCTCAACAAACACTACTAATGATGGAAAGATAAGCTCATGAGGATACAGAAACAATTAACTATGCATGCTTCAAACAAGAGAAAAGAGAAGGCAATGTAGAAGACTATGTGAAGGAAAAAAAAAATGTGTACCTTGCGCTTTGAGAATGGCTGCTTTGCCTCGGCCAGCTCCAGCTGCTTGGTTTTTGTTCTTCATACTCTTCAACATAGGAGCATTTTTCAACATGTCAGGCAGGATAAGGAACCTTATTTTACTACCACGGATGTAGACCTGCTCTAGTTGGGCCACACGGCCATCCCTGTATGTCACAGTGATATTTGCCATCTGCAGAGAGAGGAGAAACAGCACATAATGAAAGTGGTTGGTACTGTCTGTAGTAAATTCATTTTTCTACTAAATAACTGCATTTTCATCTGGTGCTCTGTAAATACTCAAGTATGCTGATGTCGGAGTTGTGTGCGTGTGCATAAAAGAGTCACAAGTTGCATGAAGCAAAAAAAGTTGTGGTGCTCCCAGTATAGTCTCCTAGCCAGGTTTTTCTTCTCTACAGATTCAGTTTGGCATCGATAGCAAGACCTTTCAGTAGTGAGCCAGAGAGGCAAACCAGTGATAATCAATTAATCACACTGGCTGCTAACTGTTGTCTAAGTATCATAAAGCAAAGAACAGAGTAATGAAATGTTATTCATCTCTGCAATTGTTCATATCAGTGCGCATGTAAGTGAAAAAAAACATTTATTTATAAAGTGTTTTGTTTATTTATACTCTCTATTTAACTGATAGCCTAATAGCGAATATATATGAAGGTCTACAATTTAGATTTTCAAACAGAATTACCTGCTATTTTATTATAAGAATTTCCATGTTTGCAGCTATTGTCAATCATCATTATTTTCTGTTTCTATTGTTGTATTTGATAAAGATTTTGATGACTTAATTGTATTCAAGCATTTTTCAGGTGGTTCAAAGTAAATTTAATTAGGTGCAAACATGGCCATAGGGAGGTCCTTTTCACCTTCTTGACATATAAATTCAACTTGACAAAGCCACAGAGAAGCAGTGTGCTGAGATCAATTTAACTCTGCATTCTTCAGGACTACATTTTTGCAAGAAGAACAAGGTGCCACACTAACTTAATATCTCACAGGAGTGAGAAACATTGCTAAAGGTCTCTCACTGTGCAGTGCAATATGCAAGAGATTGCACTACCTGGCAATTCATGTTATCCTCTGCCTCAATAAGTTTACCCCGATACACCTCCCCAGTGTTGGTTTCACAAGTGACAATGTGTCCCTCTGCTTCATGGAGGACTTTGATGGGCACACCGATTGACATCTTCAGAGTGTATGTAGTTACTTCTTGAGAGAAATGCAAGAACAAAATTTAAGATTAAGAGCCATTGCTGCTCAACTAATCCAAAAACACTAACAATACTATATAAATCAATAAGACTTATTTAGTACTATATAATGATGCTTCTTTAACAATGTATAGTTTCTAATATTCCTGTAGAAATATTTTACAGTAAACTGATTACAATACCGTGTAGTAACCTTTGGTTAACTTTACTCATTGACTGAATATACTATAAACATAATAACAACAGAAATACAGAAATCCCTGTAGTATTACTAAAGATCCCTCTCATAATACTAGGTTAGCTAGCATCACAAACAGCGTCGTCAGTTGTTGGTTTAAGGAATTTTGGCAACATGGGGTGCAGAGCAAGAGAGCAGTTTACCCTAAAAACTACATAAAAGGCAAAGGCGGCAAACTATTTTTTTTTACAAACAAAACAGACTTTAACAGAGTAACAATAATTGAATAAAATTACCCGAACGTGAGCGCGTACCCAGGGTCTAATTTTGATTTTTCCCATAAAGAATTTCCGGGTTATTATTCTGAAACTGACGTAGGCCGCCACCTATCGCACTGGATGTTGAATGACGTCCTCTCTCCATTTCTAGTATCTTGCTTTAATACTCCAACACGATTAACGCAGCAAATGTAGTTTTTTTGCGAAGAGGCAGACTCCTACTCTGTTAAGCTTCTTTTTCAGAAACGTAATTTTCATATCGATAAAAATGAATTGATACATTGGTTGTAAGTGTATTTTACTGCAGGGGGCGCATGCATGTGTTTTTTTCGAAGTGTACTTTGGGTCGGGTTGAGAGCAAGGAAGTAAGAATCGGCTACTAACCGGGATTTTGCGCTATTTAATTTAGCTATTCCCCAGAGAAGGGCAATATTTCGCTCACTGAGTCGATTACTGAACAGACGGTCCCAGTGAACTGAAGGGAGACAGTAATAGCGAACCCACAACAGCTATTTGAGCATATGAAGCAAATGCTGTTTGAGCATATAAAGCCGGTATACTTAATGGAATGATGTTATCGTAAATGACCGAATGAAGGACTAGCTAACTCTACATGGAAGTTAGAGACACTTGCTAGTTACATAATGACAGGTAAGTTAGCTACGATAAAGATCTTGAAATTTAAAGTTAACGGTATGCGTACCTGGTTTCAGGACAGTTAGCTAACCATCGCCAAATAGGAATTGATAATGTAACGTCAAATTAGGAATTAGCGACACAGTGTATTTCGGTAATGTTAGCTGATCTGATATGAACTGCTGACGAACATGACATAACGACTAAGTTGGCTAAAATTAACTAGTTTCAGAAGTTGCTATCAACAACAGGAGGAAAGCTACTTCATTGTGATCACATACCTGTTAAGCTTTTTGTGGTTAAGGTCAAATAACAAATATAAGTTTCCAAGTTTAACCAACATTTTGTAGATGATGTCGTTCTATTGAATGTACCAATTATCCGACAGCTTTACCACTGGGACTGCGGTTTGGCGTGTTCGCGAATGGTATTAAAGTAAGTACCGAACTTCACGTCTTCTTTAAAAATTTTATAGTAAGGTTACAGTTATTCAGCATGTATATTTTTCGTTTTAGCCTAAAGTGACTGAATGAATTTTCACTAGTAGAAATACTAATTCAACATATCTTTAATTTAGTTTTGACTAGTTTTGATATGCCTTAGATGTATATGTAGTTTCAGATCTCAAAAGATCTCTACTCTTGAGTTATCGATATCTAGAATTCTCTTTTGACTATAAAAAATAAGTCAGAATGCAGTAATTACTAGTTGACTAGTAATTACTACTTTTTAAACTCTGTATATGAATTACATTAAAATGAGCAATAAGTAAAAATAAGCTAAGTCATCATAGCTTTACAGATGTCTTCACTGAAGTTAATGAGATTTAAAATGTTATATATAGTTGTAGAGATCTACAATTCTAATTCTTACTAGTTAAAATTATGATTCAGCTCTATCCAATAGTTTAATAAATACATAAACAACTATGAGATTTCATGCATATTTATGAGAGCGTTATTAGGCAGGAAAAGGGTGGTATGTGTACAGCAAGTCAGCGCAGGGCACAAGAAGGAGAGGAATAAAGGGTATAAGAAGAATTCGACCTATTCAACGGAGTACGAAATGTAATCATATTAGAGAGGGAGTGACTGGAGTGCTCCAGGAACATCAACAATAATATTTTAGCAACCAGAGGATTTATCAACAGTTTAACTAACTAACAGGTCTGCCAAGTAGCTTTACTGGCCTTAGGAGTCGAAATAAAGTAGAGTTCAATTTGTGATTTCATTATCTAGGTTTTATTTTAGATCTAGTTGTACTGCACTATAAAGTTTTAAAAGTAGGTTAACTTGTGATCTGACCTCTTATTAAGTCTGCCTGATGGATGCATCAGTGTAAAATAAACATAATAAAATAAAATAAATAAATACATTTTTGAGACCAGCTATTGCAGAAGTCCTTTTGTCTGGCCTAGTTCAAGTTAAAATCTATGTCTTGCGTAGCCAACAAATTAAAAAAATGTAACGTTAACCAGAATTTAACAAAATAAGCTAAAAATACATCAGCAGGTATTAACAGTTTTGCAAGCCATGAGAAATACATTTTAATATCAATAAATAGACCAGTTTGAAAGCCAGAGTATCCTGCCAATTCAGGTAAATGCTGGCAAGAGATCTGCTAGGGCTGTAACCCTACACAGTGAGAGGCCATTTTTATAAGTTGATTCATCAAACTTCATAGTAGTAGAAGTAACCTGCCAATGAGTGACTTTTACATTGAATTATAGTCTAAGGAATCTGCAGTAAGCATGTGACAGAGAAAACAGATATGGTGTCTTCTACAAATATGGGTTCTGACTAGTAAGAAGTCAGCTTTAGATATCTGAAATTGAATTTATAACTAATCAGAACACTGATTATTACTAGTCATAATTATATATCAGTGAGTGACATTTTCAAAAGGGAGATCTGTAATGTTTATAGTTATTACTAAAAAGTTATATGTTTATCTGTAATAACGTTAAAGAGATCTGTAGTACATTTTTGACTAGTAAAAATAACATTGGTATATATCAATATAAGTTTCACTAGTAAATTTTTTTTTTCTTATTCTTACTAGTCATTATATTTTGACTAGTTGGAATTGCGTTTTTCCTAGTAAAAACAGAGTTATTACTTGTATTGCTGGTGTTAGTTTAGGCTCCAATATTTTGCCATAAGCAAGCTTTATCGTACATCACTGTGTTGCTCTTTTTCAAACTCACCAGATATCTTCATCCAGTGAGTGAGGAGGAGTTCCAGGGAGCCTGTTGGGATCTAAAGTTGACGGAGAGCGTATGGACTATTGACCTTGCATATCTCATGTGTCAGCTAGGTGTAAAGCACTGCTTCTGCACACAGACATTAGGAGTGGACAAGGGCTTCAGAAATCAGGTAGGCAACTGCATACATAGAATTCTTTTTTTCATTTAGTGAATATGTATTATCAAATAGCTGTAGTTGGTTACAAACATTGTTCATTTGTAAGATGCATTTTCTCTACAGTCTTTGAGTCCCACAGATGCTAAATTTGCTAACACACTTGCTCTTTGACCCTGCACAACCAGAAAACTGTGACATCCATGTTAATGCAAAAGATGATAAAATGTTACAGCCTGACTCAGGCTTAAATGGCTATTAATAATGATCCTGTCTTTGTTTTTCTTGTAGTCATTCTACAAAAAGCATTTTGACACAGAAGAAGACAGAGTCAATGAACTCTTCCTGAAAGCAGAGGGCAAAGGAGTAGTGGTGAAAAAATGGTATAGTGAGCTTGTTCCTGTGAATGCATTACAATACATGATTATAGCAATTTCCAGTTTAGATTCCTACCCAGATGTTCTCTTCAGTAATAATTTCTGTGTAATTATTCCATTGTTCTAACGCATGTATTTTGTCTTTAGTACTGTGACTGTTCAGGAGATCCAGGCTCATCTGGACCAGGGTCATGTGGCCATTGTGCTTGTCAATGCTGTAGTTCTGGTGTGTGAACTATGTTCGACTCCGGTCAAGTACTGCTGCTTTCTCCCTGTGGGTCAGAAGTGTTTCTGTCGGAAGCCTGAATACCAGGGCCACTTTGTGGTAGTGTGTGGATTTAACCGTACCACTGGCTGCATCTTTTATAACAACCCTGCATACTCTGACCGTAAGTATTGCATGTGTGTAAGAGTGAAGTCTCTGAATGGATTCATTGGAAAGCAAGCAGTAAACTTTTTTTTTTTTTTTTAGAAAGATACAGCCATTAGCTTCAATGTAGCAGTCCTTCTTACGTAATTAATGTATCACATGTACATTTCTAACAACACCAAACAAAATACAATTTACCTACATTATTTAGCTGCAGCCGGACGACTAGGGTCCTTTCTGTGTGGAGTTTGCATGTTCTGCCCCTGTCTGCGTGGGTTTCCTCCGGGTAATGCGGTTTCCTACCACAGTCCAAAGACATGCAGTCAGGCCAATTGGACACGCTAAATTGCCCCTAGTTGTGAATGTGTGTGTGATTGTGAGTGTGAATGTATATGTCTGTCCGTCTGCCCTGCGATGGACTGGTGACCTGTCCAGGGTCTATCCTGCCTTCTGCCCAGTAACAGCTGGGATACGCTCCAGCAACTCCCCGCGACCCAGAAGGATAAGTGGTTTAGAAAATGTGTGTGTGTGTGTGTGCGTGTGTATGTGTATTTAGCTACACAATTTTTTTTCTCAACAGAACAGCGCTGTCTAGGAGAAAGTCTTAGCAATCTATGGTTGGTCAGTAAAAGTAATAGCAATTAGAGCGACTCAGTGACTCATGGACTCTCTCTTTATGGACAGGTGTGTGCTGCACTAGCATTAGTAATTTTGAAGAGGCAAGAATGAGCTATGGAACAGACGAGGACATTCTTTTCATCTTCAAGGACAGTTGATCTTTCAAAGATGACTGACTTTTCACTGTGAGAGCCCTGATTGGCTGGGCTGCAGTTTTCTCAGCAACTCACTGCACTGCTGGAAAATAACAGGTAGTATGATCCTTCTTGGGCTTTTGTTCTCCTTTGAGGAAATATACGGTCGAATTGTACTGCTAAGTCACTTCAGACCACGGTGCTAAACAAGCCATATGACAAGCTCAAATGTGCTTAATGCTATAATACAAGAAACAATGGACAGAAAAGACTGAAAGATAATTAGTCTAAGTATACTCTAATTTCCTTCTAGCTACTGACAAAGAAGGGAAAATTGAAGTATTGTATAGTGCTTTTGTGATGAAATGGCTTCTTTATAGACCTGTAAAATTATAAAGTCAACAGTATTTTAAATTCTTTTTGTAATTTCTTTACTTTCTTTTTAATTTCCTTTGTGTGGTCACTTCAGTTTGTAGGCATATTAGTATGGTTTAATGCCAGTGAAAGATGGAGACTTTCAAAAACTCAGGTAGAGATGACCTCGTCAAACCCAACTCACGAAGAACACCTCATATAAGATATAATGCAAGTGGATTCATTGTGCCATTTCTTTATGGACAAACATGGAAAAAATGTAGATCTGTCACAGCCTCATTTTTGTAGTGAAACGTGGGTGTGATTGCTTATGACACATCAACTGTAGTGTTACCTTACATGTGAGATATGCAATCGCAGAAGGCCCACTATTCATTTACTGAAGAGGAAAAGAGTACTCAACAATGCAGCACCTACAGGAACTATGTACCTGTTAACTGGTTTAAAGGCCAAATTATACTTTTTTCTGCAAATCTGTAAACACATGGATTGGGCACGGATGTTCACATAGGTCCTTGCAGAAATGCACTGGGGGGCAGTGTCACATTACCAAACCACAAAGCATCTAAAAATCATCATCATCATCATGGTGGTTCCCATTTCCAACCCGGTCCACCCTGACATTATAATTACAAAAGAACACTTGAGAAACCAATTCTTACAGTGTTTACATAACTGTCATGAAGTACTGGTTAGCTACTGCAATGATATTTGACATTTTCTTTATTTAAGACCTTATTTCATAAAGTTGTAATAAGAAACTACCTAACTAAATAGCTGTTTACCCTTGTGAATTTAACTATGACTTTCCCTCTTTCTAATAGTTTATTTATTACCTTGTGTTATGCAGTGGGTGTTTGTTTACCTATTGTACTCCATTGAGAGTCCCTCGTGGTACTGCCACAGCTGAAATAAATTAGCCTTGGGACTGTTAAAGTCTTCATATGAAATGATGCTAGTTGGCTAACTAACTGCTACTGTCCAAAGTGTGCCTTGACCAAATGGTTAATAAATAGATGAATTCTTAGACCCTTTAGCCGTTTATGTACCTAATTTAGAAAAAAATAGATGTGTTGACCAGTGAGCCTGAAAACATTACAATTTTAATTTTTAGTGTTATTATTTTATTACATTATTATTACCTTGTTGTTTAAATTATTTGATTATTCTTATTTGATTCTTTGCTTCCATAATTGTTGTTTATTTGTAAATTAGGGATCTCCCTCAGTGAACTTACCCCAACTGCGTTGTTCTGAGATGGCCGCCCACCCTGTAAAATAAATCGGCTTTGAGCTTTTCATAGTCATCATATGAAATGATGCTAGCTAGCTTTGCCCAAGTTGTTCCCCCAGTGAACTGATTAATTGAAATCCTTCAAAATGTTTGTGACACTGTTGTGTGAAGTCAAAATAGTGCTTTAAGGCTTGTATCAAAGTAGCCAAATCACATGTTTTCAGAAAACAAAGATTCCTTATGACATGCTGTTTTGATTCAAGCCTTCCTATCATTATTTTCTCTATTATATTCCTAAATTATTTCATAGAGCTATATAAATATTATATTCAGTCTATACCTCTGCTACACAGTATGTCCAAAAATAAAAACTTCATTAAATGTCTAACAATATGAAAGATTATTTTTACATGAAGGCCCACGCACTCAATTTTGCTTATTAACATCCAAATTGTTGGGTCTTGATGTTTTTGTTTTGGGTTTTCGTAATGCATTTGCAGATGTTGCACATGTATGCTATTTAAAACATCTCAAAACAGTGAATGATTTTCTGAAGTGATCACTTCAAAGCTTCATATTTCTCCCATCACTGAGGGACAGTCCAAGTTTATTTTATTGAAATATGCTTGCTTTGTCTCCATAAGTTCTCTGTGTAGCTATTTTTTACTTGCCCAGATAAAATGAATTAGTCCTGGGGCTGTTGCAGTCTTCATCTGCACCTTGCCCAAATGGTTCCTCCAGGACTTTGGCAAGCAAGAAACATGTACTGTGGTGGAGAGCACCTTGTAGCTTTCTAGCTAAACTAATAATATCCAACTCCTCTCTCTTGGTTAGCAGTGTCATTTATCATTTAATAGTTGTTGTTAGATTGAAGATGTGAACCGATCATGTACTGAACAGTGGATTTAAAATTGTGCATTGCCTTCATGTATTTGGCGTCCATGTAAGAGAACTTATTTGATTGTTTTGAAATAATGCAGGATGCAGTGGAACAATACCAACATAAATATTAAACCAGTCAGCAAATAGCTATATCATTACGTCATCTCACCGAGCAGTTCTGTGGCCCTGAGCACAGGTAGGTAACTGCATCTAGAAAACCATGCTGAGCCTGGTTTGTAACCGTTTCATGTTGAACCTAGTCTGCGTGGATATGCCAACCATTTGGCAGTGCAGTGGAAAAAGGTAACCTGTGTGTGATTTCAGCCAATGGAACAGTGTCTATGATATGAGGAGGGCCAAGCAGCATGTGAATTGAAATAAGTTCAAATGAACATGAATACAGTGAAACAAAAAAATGTTTTCAGAAAGTTGTCGATGTGTGAGATGGCTAGAACACAGAAGTTTTTGTTTGTTCACTCTAACATTTTATCATGGTTTTTGTCTGTACAGCGTTTGCGAAGGGTTTAATCTAAAAAGGGTTTTGATCTAAAAGAGGAATAGAGTAGGAATAGCGTACAGTATAAAACAGACTTTTTACAGACAGATTTATGCTGAGAAAAGAATTCTTTATTGCAGAATTTGTGGTTCTGCACACCACAGTCCCCACTTATACACCAGTATAGTTCATAGGCAGTGTAATACAACACAGTTAATGTAGCCTCATTTGTTGACTGTTTAGTGTTTAGTTCAGAGTAACAGGGTAATTAAAATAGGGTAATGTTTTGCAGTTTATTGGTTTATAGGATTGCTTCGAAATAGTACCAAAACCATAGAGGGAGTTTATCACAGATCTTTATTTCGACAGTTGTCTCATCAATGGCAAATTTCCTTATTAAAAACATTTTTGACAACATGGAATAAATGACTGCACTGTTGTGTCCCACTTCCTTTACTATATGTTAATTTAATGTTGACTCATGAAGGATAAATGTTTTCTACACATTTTTAAAAATATGGATGAAGGGGTTAGCTTGTTTTCAATAATTTCAGGTTGTGTATTTTTTTGAGAACTCAATGTTAATGTTGCAAACTTTTAAATGTAACAGTGCAATGATCAAAACATTAAAACATGATCATTTTAATTACTAATGCATAGTCTGTTCTTTGGAGCTGCCACATTGTTACATATAACACCGTCATCATTTGAAGCGTAACCAGCGAAAACATAAACATCTAGAAACTCCAGCTTTTCCGACAACAAAATGTTCATTCATACACCACAAACAAAAAGCTATCCAGTAAAGCTGTGTGTGGGTGTGTGAAGGTGTAGGGCCCAAGAAGTTTTCTGTGGTCTTGGGACCAGTTCCTGATAAATTTACTCCATAACAATATTGGGCTTGAAGTCATCTCGGACAGCCTTGGTGAGTTCCTCTGCATACGTATCATACCTCCCTGTCATCTGCAGAAAGATTTGTAGTTTATATAAGGGTGGGCATACAGGCCAAGTTTGTGACATCCACAGGTATTCAAACAATACTAATGACATTCCTGAATCTTTATGGAATCTGAACTGCAGAGTTTTATTTCACTTTTCATTCAGCATTTATGATAATGTTGAGTGTGTTTACATGCACTTAATCTGATAGCAGCAGAAAATCAGATTTTCAGTCATTTGTTCGAGATGTTTACATGCACTTGGGTTTTCTAAAAATAGAACAGAGTTTGGTAATTGGATTTCTGCTCTGCAGCCCACCAATAAGCTTCCAGAAGAAGGACGTGACAAAAGTTCAAACTGCCTGTCTTGGCTTTTTTTTAAAGCATGGAGTCACTTTACTAGTAAATATGAATATACATTATCTAGAAGATGAATGTTAAAATTGCTAATTTTATCAAGCACGTAGTTGGCTTCAGTATTGCTTCAAAAGTGTATTGTGTTAAATGCTGCTTGCTGTTTCCGGGACAGCTCTACCATCCATAAGCTAAAAAACCTGATTACTGAGTTAAATCCAGGTCTCTTTATCAGACTTCTTGAAATCTAGTAATGGTCGTAGTCTGAAAAGTCTGAGTATGCTGTTTACATGACCACTTGAATAATCAGATAATTACTGAAATCCGACAATGACTGTATTTTTCGTGTGCAATGTAAATGCAGTCAATGTTGTAATGCCTGTACTAAACTTTCTAAAATCTTGAAGAAAAGATTTAGAGATCCAGGCCTGATTTTTTTCAGGTGTCATAGAGAAAGAACACTGAACTTAGGTATGTGACTTGTGCAAAATGCATAAATTGATACCTGTTCAGCATTCTTATTCTGAGACGTTTGCTTAATATGTCTAAAAGCTCCAAGTGGTGGATCCCAACACTAAAGACTGAATTTGGAAAGTTAGTAAAGTAATTTGAAACTTTAACGCTTTATAAAATTCTCAATATATACTTAGAAGAAAATGTATACAAGATGGTAATTTATCTGTATAGCATGTGTTCCTAACGCACCTTGAAGTTCCACATGTCTGCAATTTGCCGGTTTAGGTTCAAGTCTAGTTCAACGACCAGTAACCCATCATGGATTCTGGATAGACCTGGGGATCGACTTCCATCAGGTGCAGCCACGTAGCTGGAGCCATAAAAGTGGCCTAATTCATGATGTCCTGCAAAAGAGGAAAGGAATATAAAATAATTTGTCAATAAACGGTTGTTTAACACAATCTTTCAAGTTACATGAAATCCCTTTTCCAAGGCACATACGGGAACAATGACTATGACTTCCGGTAAGTAACATATCAAACGTGCATGAATGTGAGCATGAACATAACTAGTCTGCTAGTGCGTTTACAACTCTCTGCTGCCTTTTCCATCATCCCTGTCTCTGACTCAAGTGGTTTATAGCTATGCATTTAGTCATCTGTTAGCACCACTAGACATGACACCAATATCCCTGTGACATTCTCAGCTTGGTTGAGGGAAATAATTACCTTTCTTCCCATCTCCAGATGTGAACTCATTCTTGAAATATTCCTGGGTGAAAAGATGAGCACATTCAATGTAAAACTTGGAAGCTTGGAGCTTGGAACAACAATAATAAAAGAGTCTGTCCTAAACAATTTGCAACTGAAGGATAGTGTGTCATGAAGCCTTCTTGAAAGGGCTCATAAAATGTCCATACTTCTTAATAGTCCTTCAAAACTAAATAACATAAAAAAGGGTTTTGCTTAAGGATCTAACAAAAATTTTTATTCAAGAAAGCAATGTTGCGTGTTTTTGTATAATGTTGTACATTAGAGTACATTTCTTCCAAAACTTTTGTACTTTCTAAAGTACAAAATATCAAAGGCTACTACTGTTATCAAATTGATGGCAAAGTGAATTGAAGGCCGAGTGAGACTGGTCCTCACCATTAGCTGGCTCACACATTCTTTTCAAATATCATTTATGTGGAATGAAAATAAAATTACCATATAACTATACTTAAAAAGCCAAAAGTTTCTTGAATATGTTTGTTTTCTTCATTATAAGCTACATACCGTCCCAACTCTGTTGATGGCACAGGTGAAGCAGTGGTTGGCAATGGCAGCATTTCTTGCTTCAATTGACCACATTGGTTCACTGTAACACAAATCCAGTACTTATTTAGCAAAGTAACTTGATCTGTTTTTGTGGAAGAAAGACAACTGTGTATGTATCCTACCTGAGAGCTCCCACTGTGGCTGAAGGGTTGAAGATGATCTCAGCTCCATGCATGCTGTACATGAACCAGTTAAGAGGGTGATGGCGGCCAAAGCAGATATTCACACCTATTTTTCCAAACTGTGTCTGAAAGACACGGTGTCCTGTGTTGCCCTCCATATAATATGCCGACTAATAAGAGGGAGACAGAAAACACAGTGAATTTAAAACAATAGTTTCAGAAACAAAGGTGCAGAATGTGAACTTTAATTCAAGTGTATTACAACTACACTCACATTACTGCAGCATGTTATACAGACCTCCCATTGCAGGAGAATATAAGTAATTGGACAGATGATCTACAGTTGATTCTTGATGTGACATTAGCATAAATGGTACAGTGACCCAATTAATAGAGTTTTTGGGAGGGCCAAGAGTGTTTGTCTAGGTAGACTGATCCCAATCGTACCTTATACACTGATTAACATGTGCATGGCTCCCAATGCTACATCACCCCCAATATAATTACATCACTGTAGCAGCATGTGTGTAATATGAGAATGCTGCAGTTCGACCCTGTTGAAGAAATCCACCTTTTGTTTATGAGTCGTTGAGACATAATTTGTGACTGACATCTGCAGACCAAGCCCAGGTTAGGCAAAGCCCCTGTTCAGGAAGAAACCCCCTTTGGTCAGCTTAGCCAAAAGCCAAGTTAGCTTAAGCCAAGTAAGTGAATATAGGTTAAACCAAACTAAGATAAAATAGCTAATGAACTAACTTGGCCCAGACTCTTTCTATGTGTGTTAACTAACATGGTTGTGGGTGTAACAACCATGTTACTTGGTTCACCTAATCCCTAACTCTAACTTCACGAACATCTTTACTAGCTGAGTATTCATGCTTTTTCCACTAGATTCCTGCTGTAGCTGATATTACTGGTAACTGCTGCTATAGAATGTCTATGTTCTGAAGTGGTGACAATGAAGGCAGAATGCCACGGAGTGGTGAAAATGCATCCTCTAGGTATAAACATGTATACATATATTTTGTCTATTTTAACTGGCTGAACTACTTCAATTATCTAACAGCATAGTCACTGAGTAATTGTTTTGTACACTTTCTGTGGGGTGATGCTCTAGTTCTGTAATTCTAAGAAGAACACTGTGGCTGGTCCCCAGCATGGTCTCTTAAGTTGCCATGAAGCAACTCATGCTTCCAAACATACACAAGGTCTAAGATGATTTATTATTGCACACAAACTTATTAGCGCTGCTATTTTCCCCGTGTTCAGGTATGCTGATAATGCCTGATGTGTAGGATCTGTGTTATTTACACTGTTTTGGGTTTTGCGTTGTTCTCTCTTGGCCTGGTGAGCCTCTCACGCCATGGACCCACTGGCTACAGTCCTTGAAAAGCACATTGTAGCCATGGAGCTAACTGAGATGAACACTGTTTGTAAAGCAGACTTACTGCTATACTTCCTGGGAGTAGAGTGGACCTTATAAACAAAGGTCCACTCTACTCAAAGGTCCACTCGCTGCTCCTTCCTACCCCAGCCAGAGTGCAGCCTCCTCTGTGGACACTGTCATGCGCCTGGGACAATGTCAACATCCTCGTCCATGTTCTCAGCAGCCATGTGGCACCTGTGAATCAAGGTCTCACACCACAAGAGCCCAGACCTGCCCAGCTTGTGGACAGACATGCTGCAGCTGTGGAAAGCAGAATCATTTTTGCTTATGTATGTCACTCTGTTCCAGCTGGCTCGGACAGCCACAACCCCCAGCCTGCAACCACAGTTATCGACACTAACATCAGGCCTAATAGCATTTAAATCATGCACACTTAATCTCAATTATGTGTACCCCATTGCTGTTGGACACAGGCACCAGTGTGTCTCTCCTGAATGCTGACAAACAGTTTTTCAGCTCACTGCCACTGTCCATGCCCTCCACTGCTCTTTTTAGTTATGGCACCTCCAGAACTGATTTAGTTGGCTCCCTCCACATGAAGGTTTGTTACAGAACCAAGGTTCAACCCTGCATTTGCTTTCATGTTGCCTGTTGGGTTTGGACCCCTTCTGCGCTCTGGGGTTCTCCCTCCTGGACACAGGGAGTTCTGCAATTATGACTGTTGCTATGCTTTGGCAACAAAAATGGCCTGCACTGTTTAAGGGGCTGCCTCTCTGTCCTCGTCCACAAGTCGCTTCTTGCCCCATTTGTTACCCCAGTCATTCAGTCACCATATGGCATCCCGCTGAGTCTCCGCAATGGGATCATGACTGAGCTGCAGCAGCTGCAAGAAGCAGGCACCACTGAGCTGGTGGACGCCCCACCCTGGGTTTCGAACCTGGTGGCAGCTAAGAAGAAGTCTGAAATAGAGACATGCTTTACATGTCTGTATGCATCTCCAAGCAGTTAATAAGGCTATGATCCTAACAAATAACCACTCCCAGAGTGAATGAGGTACTCACAGCTCAGTTCAATGGCTCTACAGTGTTTTCAAAGCTCAACTTCAGAAAAAAAAAGTACTTACAGTGTACTTATGTGTGCTCCACCCCAGTAGCAGACACCTCACTGCCTTTGTCACACATGTGGGTGTGTTTCAGTACATCTGTAGGTCATTTGGTTTGAGCTCTGCCCCCAGCTGCTTCCAGAAGGTCATGGTATCTGCTGGCTGGCATCACAGGTGTCGTGATCTAACTTAATGATGTTGTCATGCATGGGTCCACCGCTGAAATACACAACGAGTGACTCAACAGAGTCTTTGCTCTGACACTCTGAGCCGACACTCAACGTTGACAAGTGTGTCCTCTCTGTACCAAGCTATTGAGTGTGTGAGGTGTTAGCAGATGGGATCCACCATCCCTGAGCCAAGCTCTGATGCTGTGCATGTCCTCAAGGTGCAGCTTACTTCGCTGCCAGTGTTGGTTCCCTTTGACATCTCTGGCCCCAACTTTCTCAACTGCGATGCATCAGCCACAGCATTAGAGGCTGTGCTTTTACAGATGCAGAATGGTGTCAAGATGCCTGTTGCCTTCACCTCTGCGGTCTTCAGTCCAACTGAACAGGGGAACTCTGTGGGGGAGCGTAGGCCATTGGCCTGCATCTGGACCTGTGAAAGGTACCACTCGTATGGCCGCCCTTTCACACTGACTACAGAGAGACAGGCCCGGACTACTCTGCTGTCCACCCTGGCCCAAGGGTGCTCCTTTAAATGGGCGATCTGCCTCATTCTGCTACACTACAGGGCCACACAGTACTTGACCACAGGCATATCCCTAGCCTCCCTTATGCTAGGCTGGGCGCTCCACCTATCTCTCAACAGGCTTCACCCTTTCCCACCCCAGGTACCTTCTTATACAATCAGAGCCTCAGTTATCTGCTGGCAGAGGCAGATGAAACAGTGCTTTGACCAGTCAAAAGGGTCAAAGTGCCTACTATTACTGCTCAGACTGGTCAGCGTCCAGAGGCCTCACAGGGACAACAAAATGACCTCGAACTGATGCCTTACTCTCCAAGTTACTCATTGACTGGGCCCACTACCTACCTTCTCAACGATAGCACTTGATGGCACTCCAGGTGCCTCCAGACAGTGCCAGCTCCTATGTACATGGTAGATGATACACCCCAGATTACACCTTTTGGCATAGTGCCAGTAGTCCATGCCCAGGTCTCTGATGCCCTGTTTCCTGAGCCACCTTAGCCTTGTGCCTCCCGGCCCCAGCCCCACACCTCCCCTTGATCTGCTCATATCTGTTCGTGCCCAGGTCATTTGAGGGGGGTGTGGAGTGTTTGCACATTAGTGGGCAACTTAGAGAAATCCTCTCACAGAAAAGATGTTTGATCCTTCATTCAGACCCAAATAACCCCACATATAAGCCAACTTGCACATTTTTTGTGAAATGTTTAAAAAGTAGAGTATTAAAAAAGAAGAAATACTATGAATCTATTCCACAATAGATATGGCCTTTCTATAATATATACAGCAGTGTGCAAAAGTTTTAGGCATCTGAGAAGATGAAAGAGAAATCTAAAACCAAACCTGTGTTCTTCTAACCAGCTAACAAGATATTTACTACTTTTTTGAAAAAAATAAATTCTTATTACTTCTTACTTTAATACTTTCTAATGTTATATTATTTGTTTTTGTGCCTAAGAGATTTGGCTGTCCTGAATACACATCAAAATGATGATAAGAAAAAAAGGGAAACATTACAAAAAAGCCAAACAGCTGTGTGTGTGTTTTTTAAAATATTAGCTATCATTTACATGGTGGGCTTAAAGAGTATGCTGTCTGGGCAAATCTTACAGACATGTTTGTTATACTTAATTTTATTTTATTACAAGGTTATATAGTTAAATAGTAACCACCATTTTAACCACAAAAATTGTGAAATTTCTAGTTAACTCTGCTGGACCCAATTCCTCTTTCATGTTTTCTGTACTGTTTATGTTAAGGTGTTAGAACCGGAACTAAACAGCAGCCAAACACTATCCACAAAAGGCTAGAAGAGTCAGGATGAAGCTTCTTGCTCCAACTTTATTTGCCTTGAGTATGTGAATTTAGAGTGAAACTGAAGGGCATAAATTACAAAAGTTACTCATGTAGTTTCCACATACAAAGTAAATTATATGTTTGCAATATACACAAATGAAACAGCATATAACACCAGGACAAAGATAAAGGGTAGCACCAAAGCTAGGAACAAGCTAACAACCACATCTAATGTAATTAATCCCCAAATTTAACTTAAACACAACTCAATTCTCAAAAATATGCTCATATAAACAGGTAATCAATAAAAAGGCTTACTCACAGACATTGCTTCAAAGAGATTTAAAGAGGTTGTCAACAGATTAAACTAAGCCAACACTTGCTGGTTCTCGACTTCCTCTCTCTTTTCTAAAGAAACATAGTCAATGTATCCAATAGGTGACACTATTTTATTGCCTAAACAAACATTTCACCTTTGTTTTGCCTGGAAGGCAGAACACTCCCCGCCTGGCATCAGTGATGCCACTAACAAATAATGTTACAATCTCAACTTTGAGACTCACTAGCAAAAAGAAAAATGACCTGAGACACTGGTCTCGCCAGTGTTGTTGAAGTAACCCGATTCACAGTCTGGAGTTCCACTTTGTGCACCTTACCATCTGCGCTGGGACAGACTGACTCAACCACTGGTATAGGCC